CTACCTTAAGCTGAACGCCCATTGGCTGAAGTCTGCGGTCCCAGGCCCTCACAATACCATCTCTTCCACCGGCTGACAAAAGAACACCACTCGGCAGAACAAGAAGAGAGTAGACTGGACCCTAAACATGAAAGATGAGTAATATATTGTTATTATATATATATTATTTATTGCAATGGTAGACAGGTTTTTATTTTTTGCCCGTTAATGTTTGTGGGCTTCAGGACAACTCAGTTTTGCAGTGACGTCATTTCAACGTGATTAATTGCCCTATTTCACTATGACGTCACATCAAAACAATCTATTGTTTAAACACACAGGATCATGGTCGTCGGAGGGGGTCAAATCAACGCAAATTCACCGAAAATTGTTCTAAAACCCATATCAATCCATGAAGAGAAATAGAATAGCCAGCAAACGCTCAGAATATTTTTTAGTACATCAGTATTAACACATTATATCTGAAAACCAGGCCATTTTAGATTAAACTCTTTCGCTAGGAGCAAAATTTGTTGGATTTTCTATAGGATTTGGCGATTCTATCCCCCACATAAACAAGCGTCATAGTGAAATAGGGCAATTCAGATCACTTTTAGATTCATTGTATTTTAATGGATACATGTCTGGTAACCTTAGCTGTAGCATACTAGGCTCTCGTACTTACGTCATGAGCGTTCTTGACTGAGATTGAGATTTGGTTGCTCCCTGAAAACAAACCATGTTTGGAAAATTAGCCAATCATTAGCTTGGTTATTTAAACAGCCAATAGGATAGTTTGTTAGAAACTACCAATCATCTACTTGTTCACAATGATTAGCCAATCAGGTGATTAATAAAGATTAGCCAATCACATTYATAGTCAATGGAGAAACTAGACAATCAACTAATTAATCAAGATCAGCCAATCAGATTTATATTCAATAGAGAAACTAGCCAATCAGCTGTTTTATCAAGATTCGCCAATCACGCTATTTCAAAAACAAATCAGCCAATCACTGGCTTACCTTCAGGCCAAAGAAAAATGGTCCCATTCGTGTCACCAGTTATGACGTTACCTTCTTTGGAGAACGTTAGACAAGAAACATACTTGGGCTTGACGTGTGTCTGGAATTAAAGAAGAAGCAAATATATGAATACGCCTCTTTAGCTCAGGCGTAATGCTTTCCCGTTTCAGGTCATGTGTTATTCCCTTGAGTATCATTTCTTTCAATCAATCAATCAATCAATAAACTTTATTTAAAGAGGGTAAACACGTAACAGTACTAAAAACTGACAAACCTGTGGCCCTCTTTCTTTACTAGGAATGCTTTTCACATATGGTGTAATGTTTTCCCATTTCAAATCAAACATCATTCCCTTGAGTATTATTTCTTTCTTTACTAGGAATGCTTTTCAGCTATGGTGTAATGTTTTCCCATTTCAGACCATGTGTCATTCCCTAGGGTGTCATTTCATTTTATACTGAGATCCTATACCTAACATCAACATATAGATGGTTTGCAATCAGCTCCAAAAATGACCAAAGACATGGCAGCCATGTTAGATGATATATATATGACATGAGAATGATACGAAAAAATGTTTTGTAAGGCCTCGATGATGTAGCATACAAACGAAGAGTTCTTTCATATATCAAAAACGTATATTTACATGAAGAGCCAAAGTTTATACTAATGAGCTGCAAAAAAAAAGGGGGGAATAAAATAGACCCCTTGCTGCACTTTGAAATGGAGCTCAATTTGGAGGACATAACAATAGGTTTCCATTCTCAGAAGATTGGAATTCTTTTGTTTCTTCCTCCAAATTGAGCTGCTTTGACGTCTATGGGTTAAATACAGAGGATGATATCAATCTTCTCTCACTTACGTCAAATCTTCCTCGATCACATTTCAGCTTGTTGTTGTCATCGAGAGTCCAGAAGCTGATATGTTGTTTGCCACAGGAGACAAGCTGTCTGTTGTTGAACGGTGAGAACTCTGCTACTAATACTTGGTCCATATGTCCCTGGGGCGAGAAAAGAAAAATCGAATTAATGAAAAAGAAAGGAGGGAAGGGAAAGGAAAGGGAGGAAGGTAGGGAAGGAGAAAATGAGGGATGAAAGAAGAGAGGAAGGAAAGGAGGAATGAGAAAAGAAAAAACTGAAAGAAAACGAGAAAAGAAAAAAAAAAGGAGGGAGGAGGAATGGAGGAAGGAAAGAAGGAAGGAAGGAAGGAAGAAAATGAAGGGTTAAACAATGAAGTCAAAAAGGATGGTAGGAACAAAAATGGGAAAAGAAAAAACTGAATAAATGAAACAAAGAAAAAGGGGAAGGAAGAAAGAAAGGAAGGAAAAAATGAAGGCAGAAAGGAGAGCTGGGGAACGAAAGGGATAAACGAAGAAAGGAGAAAAGAAAAAAATGAAAAAAAGATCTAGTGAGAAGACTTTACCCTAGCATCTGCGATTTTCTTGTTCTTGGCCCAGTCCCACACGGCAATAGTGTGATAGTC